TGCAGAATCCTCAGGCCTACTCAGGAACGTCATTATCTAGATTGCTGCCTTCTTAGGCACAATTTCTCGGGCTGTTTAGGACAAACCAGGTCGAAGTTCCTCTTGGCGTGATTCCTCCGTTCCCCCAAACTGCCAAGCACTGGGGAAGCTGGGAGCACAGGGGCAGCGAGGCTGCAGAGCCCCGAGCTCTCCTCTGTCCCCACAGGCTCTGCCAGCCCCAGGCTCCTCCTTCTCAAGGGCTCCCTCTGAGCCGTCTCTGACACCTGGAAGAACTTCCAATATTCCCACCCCACACTCGTCCGCTGCTGTCAGGATCAGTCCAGGAATCCACCTCTCACCAGGCTACAACTGCCACATGCACTACCGGTGGAACACTCTGCCTTCCTAACAGATTCGCTCACCTTTCTCTTGAGCAGATTAGCTAGTGAGCTCCCACTGTACACGAGGCACTATGCCATGTGCGAGAGCCACAGGACGGGACTGCCAGCAGGGCAGGGACAGCTCAGCAAGCGGGATGAGAACCATGTTCCGCAAGGCTTTTCTCCTGAGCCAGCGAATGGCATGGGTAGCAAAGGGAACTAGCATTACTCCCACCGCTCTTACGACGAGGAAGGGGATGAAATGCGATCCCGTCTGCACAACACGCAGCAGACACGCCTCGCACATGCGGTGCACGGCGCACGCGCTGGCTCAGCAGTGCCACTATCAAAGTGATGTTCGCTGCCCTCTGGCACCAGCTTAGCCTGAAGCGGCAAGGTCTTCTTTTTTAGTCCAGTGATAACAAAGTCGCAGGACATTTAACAGGAATTGGCCTCAATGCACGGGCTTTGATGAGGAATCCGTTTTGAAATGCCCCATCATCTTTAACTCAGAATCTTAGTCAATTTTGCCGTAGTCTGAGTTCTGACAACTCAGTAGGAAAAACCTTCTCAAAGGGCCGCCCTCCATGAGGTCCCCTCAGGGCCTCCCGCTGTGTGCTCCCTCCAGGCCCTCGGGGCCTCCCCCTGTGTCTCCCTCCAGGCCACTCGAGCCCTTCCTGGGGCATTTGGTGCTCTCTCTACTGCCCTGTGTAGCGAACAATCTTGCCGCAGCCCTGCCACGGCCATCCCCAGACTGAGTCTTCTCGCACACAGGACCGTGTTGCAATCCGGCGCTCTCACACACGGTCGTCCGTCACCCACTGCGCCACACCGCTGCCAGCAGAGCGGTTTAGGGGCCTCAGCCACTCCTCTCTTCCCCCGCCTGCAGCCTGCCTGGGCCTGGCTGCTCTCACTGAAGACTCCAGGGGCCCTGCTCCAAGTATCCTGACCCTGCTGCTCCTCCGGCCAGGCTGGCAGGACACAGGCACTTGGTGAGTAACTCAGACACACGACACAGAGGAAATGCTCACCCCGCAAGGTGTTGGCTTAGATGCAGCCCGCCCTACCTCCACCTCATCTGGAGCTCAAAGCAGGGCCCACGGCGGAGGCCAAGCCAATGGTCAGGGAGGCTGAGCCGAAATTCAGAGAAGTGTGCAGAACGAGCCAACGCGCAAATCGCCCGTCACATCCACCACCCGGGGCCTCACACATGGAACGATCACCAGGCACGAGTGGATGAGCAAACGAACGGAGGAGGAGACTGAAGGCCCTTCAGAGCCCCGTCAGGACACGCGGCAATCTCACCCGCAGCCCGCAGAGCTCAGTGCGGTGCGGCAGCCGCACACTCGTTAAATATTAGTCTGCTGCAGGTCCCCAGACCCCACTGCACTTGAGCAGAAGAGGCAGCAGCTCAAACACTGGTGCGTTCACATTGTTACTTTTTCATGGATCTCTGATTATGAAATAAATCAACATTCCCATTCACACTCCAGGCCTGTGTGCACGGGCCCCACCACGCCCCCACCTCACGGGGAAATGGGGCAGCGTTGTGCCTACCTGGGCTGAGGGAGGGGATCAGAAAGAAGAAGGTGAAGAGGTTGCTTTGAATCCGGCCCCCAGTGGTTAATTTTCATTTAACTACCTGAGACTAGAGGTTTGCAGAAGCACATTAAATTCCATGAACTTATGAAATGATGCATTATTGAAGCCACAGCAGGGGAAAGGGCTTGGTTTAGAACACATAAAAGACTAAAGTCTGCAAAGTGCCATTTTCCATTATGAGGTAACAGCTAAAAAACACATTTTAATTGGGAAAGAAGACTTCTGCTGCAAAGGAGGTAAAACAGAATTAACCCACAGTGCTCTGCTCCTCCCCTCAGCAGCACCTGCAGCTCCTCCCAGAGTTCTGCTGGAGAAAAGGCTGGGTCGAGCCCGTTCCCTCTGGACCCCCCGGACACAAGCTCCACGACGCTCCACAGACCCATGCTGAAAACCAGAGAAGGGGCTCGGGATTTAGCTCAGCGGCACAGCACCTGCCTGGCAAGTGCGAGGTTGTGAGTTCGATTCCCGGTACCGGAAAAAAAAAAAGAAAGAAAGAAAGCCAGAGAAGACAGAACCCTGGCACTGGCAGCTCAAGTCCAAGCAAACCACAGCACACTAACGGTGACACTGCAGAAAACGGCAGGGAGGCAGGAGGCAGGAAGAGCGCACAGAGAACCCCAAACAGTGGAGAGAAGCCGCCTGGCTGCTCACTTCCCGAGGCACCCTGAGCTCTCCGCGCCTCCACTGTCCAAAGCTCCGGAAGTTACTCAGACCCTACGCCGATGGGCACTCGCAAGGCACTCAACGCGAGTTCTCCGGCAGACACAAGTCCTCAGCCTGAGGCTCGAGTGATCTGGTCTCATTAGGGCCTCCTCAAGGGAGACCCGACCATGAGGGATGGCAGCCTAAGCTGTGCAGGCACGTGTGCAGAGCCCACAGGGCACCTTGCCCCTTTGCCAGGGAGCAGAGTCCACAGGAAGAGCTTCAAGATGCCCTCGGAGCCCCGCTGGGACCTGAAGCTCGACCTCCCACAGCTCTGGGTCCATCCTCCTCTCAGCACCTGAGGGGTCTGGAGCCACAGCCCATGACCACACCACCAGCAGCAGCAGCCCCCGTAGGACTGGGCTGGGCATCCGCGTGGGCTAAAGCTCCCTGAGGCTCCAGCACACCGCCACAGTGAGACCCCACGTGGCCTCACCCAGCAGTGACCCCAGCTGGAAGCCCCTGCTGACCACTGGCCACCCCTCTTCATGCTGTCAGAGGGTCTGGCTGTTCCCATGCCCCACGTGGTCCCACCAGGGTCCATGCGGAATGGACTTCCAGAAACTTCCTGGCAGCTGCAGCTTCTCTGCTGTGAGTCTCCCCATGTGAGACCGGGAGACCCCTCCCCAGGCAGCAGACCGGCAAGACAGCACAGCCCAGAGTGCTAATCCCGATGTGGCCACACTGTGACAAGAACATGAACCTCTGCGAGTCGACCGGTTAGAACCAGTATCCACAGCAGATTATATGGGGTGAAAACACCAGAAAGGGGTCTTGGGATACCCTCAGTCTGCTTGCTAGGGGCACTTCAGGTTCCGTATGGTAAAATATTGTTATGGCTGGGATCTAAAACGTCTCCCAGAGTCCCCCATGCTCACAGGTGGGGTTTTGGAAGGGGCCTGGATCACGGCAATGACACTTTATGCACCAGTGGACTCATCCTTAGATGAGGGCATCACTGGAGTGTAACCTGGAACGGTGTGCTCGGGTCCTGGCTCCTCACAGCTCTCTGCTGCCTGCAGCTATGGGTGAGTAGCTCTCCTCCACCAGGCCCTTCTGCCATGCTGTTTCTTCCTTGGAGCCAGATCATCATGAACTGAACCCTCCAAAACTGTGAGCCAATATAAACCTCTCCTTCCAACTGTGGATGCCAGTATTTTGTTCCAACAAACGAAAAGTGCTGACACAGACATGTACAACATTAAAGTTACCATTGTAACCACTGTCAAGGGTACAGTGCAGTGCAGTTAACTATATTTTCATGGCGGTACAACCCCTATGCATCTGTCTTCAGAACTTTTTCATCCTCCCGAGCTAAAACTCCAGGCCCGTGAGACACTCACTGCCAACCTTCCCCTCCCTGGCCCCTGGCACCAGTCTGTTTTCTGTCTCTGAAGCTGCCCCCTGCAGGGACCTCTTATAAGTGTAACTGTGAGTGTTCTCCCATCAATGGCTGGCTTAGTTCATTCAGCATAATGTCCTCAAAGATCATCCACGTTGTCACACCGACAAACTACCCTTCCTGTTGCAGGCTGAATAATGCCCCTGTGTGCATATATCCCGCTGTGCTTATCCAGTGGCTTCCAAGCCAAGGAGAACTTGGGTTGCTCCCACCTCTGTCCAGTGAGAACAGTGCTCTCTGAGCCTCTGTGTACAAACATCCAATCAAGTCCCTGCTTCCTATTCTTTGGAGCACGTAACTGAAAGCGGAACTGCTGGACCATGGAGCCCCACGTGCACATCTGAGGCCACACTCTGCCTATATTGGAGCACAGTGACCTGGGGAGGAGGAGGGGTGCCCAGTGGCCGAAGGCAGGGTGGTAGCACCTCTCCCAGGTAACAGTGTCCCCACTCGAGCCCGCAGACACTGGCCTGCACTGCACCGTACCTAACACTGCCGCACACTTTGCACTTCAGTGAGTCTTGCGCAAATACCCAGGCGGCACTGTCTGTAAGTGCACACTGGATCTCTCCTGGTTTGCAGAATAAAGCCGTGCCCCTTCAGCTGGGCACAGAGGTCCAGAGTGAAACACTCGGCCAGGAAGCAACTGGGGCTTGAAGGTCAGAGCCGCTTTCCCAGCATCACCCTGCAGTTCTCCCCTGAACTTGGCGAGGCCCGGGCAGTTTTGCTTGCAAGTTCCAGAGCTCGGAGGAGTCCCCTGGAGAGCTGGGGGGAGCTGAAATGCAAACCTCAGGCTGACTCACAACTGTGGGCATCGGCCTACCCACCTTCTCCGCGCAGCTGCTGCCGCCATCAGAGCACACTCCAGCCTTCAAATCAAGCCCATTCTTCGGGAAACCTCACATACCCGCTCCTCCGCTTTCATTTTTGCTTACCACAAACGCTGCAAGCAGTAAACACTGACTGGCGCTGCATGAAGATGGAATCGGGGATCTGCTCCGACAGGCAGGACAGGGGTTCCGCCTGCGCCACTCAAGGGACAGCTCAGCTGTGTGAGGACTTTCCGTCACTGGGAAACCGCTGCCAGCGTCCCATAGGCTGAACTCTGCGCCTGCTGCTGTGGTCCCAAAGCAGCACAAAAGGCAGGAGGGAGCAGGGTGCGCCTGGGTGGCCGAGTGTGAGCCAGGCCAGGGGCAGCGGGCGGGACGCACGCGAGGAGGAGAACTCTTCTCTGGATCCCGCCCATCCCAGCCAGCGGAGGTGACACCCAGGGAGAACGCCAGCTGTGACGCTAGCCACAGCCTGGCTGGTGCTTTATGACGGAGCCTAAGTGACTGCAAACAGGCCATTATCAAATCTCTTCGTGACGAAGCCCCGTGTTGAAGGGGACAAATAAAAATAAGTACATTAAGCACAATAAATCACCGGGACCTGTCTCAGAGACACATTAACCCTGGGGGATTACAGGGCTGCTCTCCTCTGCCTTCGGCGGCTGGATCCGGTTTCCCCTCATTGTTTTAATATTGCAGCCATTACTCTCCGTGCTGCGAAGAGCCTGCTGTTCCTCGTAGTTCTGGGTGGCGAGGGCATAATTTGTGTTATGATTTGCTTGGGAGGGTAGCTGTTTTATATTCATCTTTAAAAAATACATTCAACAATCAGAGCAACGAGACCTTGCTTTACAAGCACGACCACGTCCCATGGTTCCTCCCAGTGCTGACGTGGCCAGCGCCACAGCCACCCAAAGGCACCCAACTGTGACCAGGAGGGCCCCGAGCATTCCTGGGAGGATGGCACGGCCAAGAACAGCCTCACACTTGCTTCAAAGGGCCAACAATTCACATTACAAGCAGCTCAGCTTGGGCTGCAGAGAAACAAAAGCGGTTGGGGCCTGGGTGTGACGGTCACTTTGGTGTGACCTTGGACAGGTGCCTGGGCCCGTGTCCTCATCCACAGGAGAAGCCAACAGGCCCTCACGTCTCTCTGGAGCCCTTAGGAGCCTGCGCAGAGGGAGAATAAAGTACTTCTCTGATAATGCTTGTATTTCCTCCTTTCTCAACCAGCTCATCCCAAGATTCGTCTCAAGATAAAACTGCATAATTGTCCAAGTCTTTTCTGTACCCACAAGGAAACTTTCCCTCCTACATCGCCCCCTCATCACTGACAGGCTGCTTTCTGGGACAGAAATGGGAAGGGCTGCGGAGCGTCCCCCATCACAAGCCACGGGCAACAAATTCCCGGCCCTTCTGCAAGATGGCACCGGCTCCTTGGTCCTTCCAGGCACTTACACTGCAATTACTGCAGTAACCCCCCCAAGAAGGGCACGCCTCATGCCAGGACACTGCCAAGTGTGGCACTGCTCAGGGCGGCCACCTAACAGAATCGATCCCAGCTTCCTCTCATCTGAGAGGCAATAACATAAAACCTGCCCGCCGGTGCCAAACCCTCAAAATACTCCGAAAAGGACTCCAGTTCAGAAAGGGCAAAAAAGTTACAAGCTCTCTCACCTTAGAAATGGAGCCGGTTTTACGGATCATCAGAGCCCACTGAGCAGCCTCTTGGGAGGGAGATAAAGAAGATTCCTCTAACCAAATGATGCCTCTGGCTTTGCAAAATTCCCTGTAACAGCCCAATAAATACCAAGTGGAGTTAGATGTATGGCAGCTTTTGGCCTAGAACTGCAGGTGGCAAGCGGTGAAGGAAGTAGCTTTGCCTGGAGTCATGAGGCTAGGGGCCATCCTAACCTGATCACAGTGAACCAGCTCCCCGAACAAGAGCTCCAAGGACCTGGGGGCTGTGTCTCACTCTCCTCTCATCCCAGCAGGAGGTCAACCCCTGTGGGTCCCCTGACTGGGTCAAAGGAAGAACGAATCTGCATCAAGTGACGACAGTCACCTGCAGCCATAGAAACTCCAACCAGTGCTGGAACAGCACCAACACCGATGTGAGAAGGTGGGATTTCTGTAGTGCTCAGGGCATCTCAGAGAAAGCATGAAGATGCACCACTCACACAGCAACGTAACTGCACAATACGCAAAGGGACGCCAAAGACCCATGCCCTTTCAGTGGCGGGGCGGTCAGGCGTTGTTCTTGGTTTTGTAGCTTTTTTGCTTGCCACTGCAAGTGATCAGGAAGAGGCAAAAGAGAAACACAGTCAGAAAACATTCTTAGCCTCTGCCCCAAGTGAGTCTCTTTTGAATATCAAAATACAGCACATGAAAGAAACCAATAAAGCCAGAATACATTCCCATGCCCTCCATGAAAGATTCAGGAGTTGGAACAGACACCTCAGGCTTTACATGCAAACTACACCAAAGGGCAGCAGCTGGTGGCCAGCAAGTGGGGACCCAGCAGCCCCAGCCCAGGTCCACCCTGGGCGATGAGCCCCTCCCTGTCCAGCACCAACGTGCTCGGACTTCTGCCAAGCACACGGCGCAACCCAAACACTCAGATTTCCCGCAGGATTCCTATGCGAGAACCTTAGAGTGCATCACGCATCAGACGCACGCACTCGCTGGACATCACAGACTTGGGACAGATCTTCTCACGCCCCCTGGGGCACCTGCCCACTGGCCAGGGACAGGTGCAGATACTTCTTGACTTACAAGGCCCCTACATCAAAAATGCATTTAATGTACTAATCTACCACACATCCCGGCTCCACAACCTAGCACATCGCAGAGCGCCTGCTGTTACCTTCTGGTGGGTGCTGAGGATGACTAGGGGCTGCGCTCGGTGATGCTGTCCAGAATTCAAGGAAACATCAGACCCTGTACCGCCCAGGAATTTAAAGTAAGGTTTCCACTGGATACATACCACCTTCACATCAGCCCCCAGTCAAAGTCACAAGCGGAGGCATCCTAAGTCAGACACCAGACACGTTCCACAACCTTCTTCACAAGACTGCTTGATCCTCACACTGAGGCGGGGACCTACCATGAACCAGGTTGCCTGGAGAAGAAATAAGGCCCAGAGAGTATTAAGAGTTGGATGGTGCCCCCACCCTTATCTGAGAGAAAATATGCTGAGGCCCTAACCCCAGGCGCTCATGGAGCGACCAAGTTACAAGGAGGTCCTGAAGGTGGGGCCTCGTCCAGTGTGGCCAGCGTCCACCCACGTGAAGGGGGCATCTGAACACAGACACCAGAAAGAGGGCATGGAGACGCACGGGAGGACAGACACATCTCCAGGCCCAGGACGCCGAGGGCCACTGGCAAAGCCAGAAGGTAGAGCAGGGAGAAAGGACACCCTCGACCTTCATTCCAGCCTCCAAATCTGTGAGACGACAGCCTCACGCTGTGCCCAGCCTGATGGCGGCCACAGAACACACGCAGGAGACCTGGTGCTGTGCCCAGCAGGCGCTAGCCACGCCTTCAGCAGTGCCGGGAATTGAACCCAGAGCCTCCCACAGGCTAGGCCAATGCTCTGCCACTGAACCACGTCTCCAGGCCTTTTCTAGATTTTATTTTTAAACAAGGGCTGAACCCTGAGATCCTCTTGCCTCAGTGACCTGAGTAGCTGGGATTAAAGGTACATCCCACAGTCTGCACAGACTCACAAATGTTATGGTGGAAATAATGATTGGCCAGGCTCTGTCACAACTTCCTCGACCCCAGGCAGACTCTCTCCGACTGGACGGCTTCCCACTCACTCCCAGGGCTCCCTGGCAGGGGAGGGGCAGGAACACAGGGCGCATGCCACCTAACACGCATGCTCCTGACCCCACCCTGCAGCAGTTGGCTTTCCAAAGTGGTCAGCATGGGAATTTTCGGACTGCAGGTGAGCAAAACTGTTCCTGGGGATCCAGGACTTACTATGAAAAGACCACAAGTGGACAAGCGACAACCTGCTCCGCTCCTCCTGTCAGCTGTGACAATCCAGAAAGCAGACCTGGCGCTGAGCACAGGTACACGCCGGGTGGGAGCTCCTGACAAAGCAGCATACAGTGCGGGGCTGTCGCCTGCAGAGCCCTGAAGATGCGCTCGGGGCACAAACAAAGTCATCCGGACACAATGGCGACCCTTTCCCAGCGTGGCCCACGCACTCACAAAACCCACCCTTGCAAACTGTGGTCCCCAAGCCACCACAAAGCCAGATGACCAGCACTGGCTCCGGACGGCCCAACAGGGCTCTTGGCCACATGATCCCCATTCGTGGGGAGAGCAAGGAGGACTGGCTTCCACCTGTGCTGCTCACCCAACGCAACGCCAAGCCCTGGGAGAGGAACGCCTGCACCCCACTTTTCAAGAGTCACCAAACCCCCTCTGCAGCCAGGCCACCCTAGGGACAACGCCAGTTCCTACGCGGCAGTGCTGAGTCCAAGGGGCGAGGGGAAGGAGAAGCAGGAAGAAGAGGAGGAAGGAGAGGGGAGGGAGGAGGAGGGGGAGGGCCCATGCTCACTGCCAGGTCCCAAGCAGCCAAGCACACCCACCGCCAGGTCTCCGCTCTATGCCTTGTCTGGACTAAAGGCGAAGTGCTTCCAGTAACCAACTTTCGGTGGGTTTGTGTTTACAAAGGTTAATCTGGTGCCAACAGGAATTTCAAACAAAGTTTGATTCCCTTTTTCAAAGTATAACACTTTAACAGCTAAAACAGCAGAGGCACTGTGGGCAGAATTGTGTCCTCACCCCAGGCCCTACAGCACTTACTGCACTTAGAGAGAAAGAGGGTAGAAGGAGGACACCAGGTCACATGCCAACTGCTAGGCCGGTGTCCTCCTAAGAAGAGATCAGAGCATCACCAGACGCACAGGGAGAGGAGAACCGGTCACGGGGGACAGGCAAGGGCGAGGCTCGCAGGAACCGCCCCGGCCCACCCCAGTCCAGCTTGCGGCCTATGTAAGACATCATCCCCGGTAGAGGAGGCCAGATGGTGCTCCAGAATTTTGAGTTTCTCGGTTTCTTCCTCTCTCTTTTTATGCATAAGTCACATATGTAAATGGTCCTTTTAAAGTATCATAAAATACACTGTCAGGGGTTTTTTCTGCAATTTCCTAAAAAAAAATTACAATGTACACTGTCCGGGCTCCTTCTCCATTTCCTTAAAAGTCTGGCAATGACCAAGGGCAGGAGGGAGGGTGTCCCAGCCACCCTGCAGGAGCAACACGCAGGGAGAGCAGGCGGGCGGGGTTGCCAGGCAAGCCCCGCAAACGGGCACGGTTCAGAGGACTGCAGACA